AACTTGTGCCGCCCTGTCGGATCCGGGGTCGTTCCCCATTTCCCAACCTTGAGAGTAGGTATCTTTCTTTTAATTTTTGGTCGGCGGTGTCGGGGTGACTCCTCGCCGCTGCTTGTCTTGTCTTCAATACATGTACTGAGTACCAGTGTATCCGGGGCAGGCAAAATTGGTTTTTTTTCTCCACCGTACTACAAGTGATTTTATTTTGCGAGTGAAAAGAAAAAGTAACGTGTACGTACATACGTAGTAAAATAGCAATTACGGCCAGTGTGTTGGTGGGGGCTCACTTAGTGAACCACTGCGCTCAGAAGATGGCTTTGTAAGTTTGACCACGGCAAACGTTGAACAGGACCCGAAATAGGCGGCGCAAAAGTCAATGGGGAGCAATGAGTGGACGGAATACGGCCTGGTTCTAATTACGATGCCAAACCCATCATCTCCCGGCAGAGTTTCTTACACAAGACACCACCGAGATGATAATAAAAATACTCTGCCAATTGATATATTCCAATTGTACAGACACCCATACATAGGCATCGTATGTTTTATGTTGCATAGCTATTTTCGAGACTGACCGCTTCTCATAGCTGCATAGTGAATGAACGAGTTGCTGTTTTTCGACTCGTGCAGTCTCTGCATTCATTCGGTCATGTGCGATGGATGGCTCAAGGCAAGCTGGAAAACACCCGCTTTGGGCAGTACCGCAAAATGAGACGCTTATGATATCCAATGCCCGCCCACCCTTGCGACATCGCAAATGGATGCAGTTATACGCAGGCCAGGGGACTCAGTCGGCTGGAACAACATGAGTGAAGACGTCTGAACCAATAAAACACCCCGGCCATGTCATCACTGGTGCAGTATAACGCACAGCAAATCTCGATTCCACTTCCAACAGACGACAACATTCCACATTCGACATGTATGTAATCGCCCAATGAGGAAAACAAACCCCAAGTGGTGTTCCAATCTTAATTCGTATTCCACCTTGGCCGAACGCCTGTTGTCGCTGTCCCCGGGCTAAGACTTAGGTAGACAATTTGACAATGATGGATGTGACATATTTCCGCACTGGACTACTTTGGCGAACCGGGCTGCGCTCACCCAACTTCATTGGCCAGTCTGTAAACAATTGCAGGTCGGGCAAGGCTGTGCGCAGCTACCTTCATATGAGAGGTCTGATTATCGACATTCATGCAGAGCTACTGCGGGCACAAGCGCGCTGTCTGTGAATAAAAATATACCTCATTAAATAATACTGGAATCTCATTTGTCGCTCGGCTTTCAAGGTTCACATCTAAGGAAGAACCCTTTTTGCAGTTGGCCACAGATCGTGCGACTAATAATACTGGGCAAAAGGTAAGAAGAGGTCAAGCAGTAATCGACGACAACGGCGACAACGGCTACGAGCAAAGAAACATACTCACCTACCCCTAGAACTTTTGCTCGGTCCTTTCTCTCCGGCAAAGGTGAGCAAGAACAATTGCGGCATTAGAGAGGCCGCCTTCATACGCCAAAAAACGCTTGCTGTTTTCAAACAAGCCAAGCATGGTATTTCTGTAAAGGGAAAGAAATGAAGCCATACCATTTTGACAGCGCCAACCAAGCCTCTAGTGTGTATTGCTCTGATTTGGAGTCTCTGACTGCTCTGGTGTCCCGCTTCGCCCGCTCATGGTTCGAGACCTCGTTCTAGGGGGATTCTTCTCGCCTTGTTTTACTCAATTGAGAAAATCCCCGAGGTGAAGGTCTGCCTTAAAACTTTGTAGCGTGGATCACTTCAACGACCGTTGCCCATGGGAGGGTCCCCCCCCAACGGAAGGAGGCCCCAAAAGAAAAAGCAGACAACTAAAGGAGAAAGGGACTTGCGTGTACAATATGGCCCTATCGTGGCCTACGCATCTACTTTTTCAGAGCTTCCACCGTTTTGAGACAAGTCCCGGCTTGTGCAGGTGGTCTAGAATCTCCGTTGCAAACAGAGCCGGTGAGTGTGGTCTGCCTTAGCCTACTGGCGTTAGGATGAAGTCTGCTGCTGCGCTTCAGACGCCTCAAAAAAAAAAAAAAAAAAAACCCTGCGGTGGTCATGTAGGTACATAGCATGCGTATGTATTGGTGCATGTAATATATGTAGGGTAGTGCAGTCCGCCTCTTTTTGTTCATGCTTCGTCGTTGTGGCTATTTGGAGTTGTGCATGAGTCTGAATCAATAGACACGAGTTATAAACGATCCTCCAGGACGTCAAACTCTGGGGCTGCAGACTCCATCTTGGGGGTGGAACGCGCCGGTCCAAGAGTCCAGACTGAAGCTGCCGGCAGCAGAATCATGTCATTCACCCACCACTTCCCTCTCTCCCGATTGATCATGAATACGGACTTCAATCCGCCAGCTGTTAAGGACCCTGGGAATTATTGAGTCTCATGATCCCGCGCCATATAGCTCTCTAGCCTGCACAATCTGCACAGGGTTTTGTGTTCTAGCGGGGGCTGGTACCTCAAAGGTAGACCGTAGGACTGAGGTCCCCGGAGAATGGAAAAAGAAAGACCATGAAGCAAAAGATAGCGAGAGCCTGAGTTGCTGGCTTGGACTGCAGGCCTAGGCAAATCAAGGTGCAAGGTACATGGCAATACGGAAACCACTACATACTACTACTACTACTACTACTATTGCCAGACTCTGCCACCCGAGAGCCATCTAACTAATAGTATAGTAGTGTCTTCGTTAGCCGAAACTGACTGTCGACGAACTGTGAACCGGAGACATGAGAAACGACTTTGTTGTTCCTGTTCCCTGTGCTAGGAATTGGGGGGGGTAAGGAGCCTCCACGGTTAGAGGTCAAAAGAGAGTTTCCTGACCCCAAATTTCTCTTCCGCCGGGTTATGCCATGCACCCTCAATGCTACCACTTGAGACCTGTCGCATAGTGACCAGACCTGCCCAAAGCTTACGGGAGCGAGCATTGATCAGCAATTGGTCACCCATTGCTTTGCTTGTTTCCCACAGTTGCGCGCGATCCTATGAGGAGGTGTGCAGCTGTGTTTCTCTCTGCAAGTGTGAATTATATTATGGTTCATTTACAAATAGCAATGGTCACATATCGTGGCGTCGAGCATACATGGTAGAAATAAAGTAGTGCCGGTAGAAGTAGGTCAATGTTAGGTAGTGAACATGACCACGTACAAGCAAGCACCCACATTGCCTGCCGAGCGGTCTCGACGGTGGTCTTCAGTCAAGTCATTCCGCCGTCGACGGAGTGGACAGACAAGACAAGCTTCCCACCTAGGAGGGTCAGGGGGGAACACTTGGACCCTTGCCTGCCAAACCAAAGGCCAGACTCTCGAGTGAAAGCCCACACACAGCCTGACAAGCACAGATGAAGAAGATTGAGACGGCTCCCTCCACGGTGAGGGGGGCAGCTTGGTGCTTGAACTAGAAGTGGGAAACGGGCAGCGCAAGCGTGCATCGGTTGTTGACAAACTCCGTGTCGGCCTCCTTCTCCATACATTAGGCCGGTAGACTCGCTACGGCCGTCAGTTAGTCAATATGGGTGGTGGTGAGGTAACTCGAGGTCCTCAGGATGGCTCTCTACGCTCTTGCTTTCTTGTTCAGCAAAGCAGGGGACCGGGAAGGACTGAACAAATGGCCATATGGATACGACAGTGTGCTCTGGGCGGAATTATGAAAGCCACCCGTGCCCGTCTCTTGTGTTTCTCTATCTGTCTCTTGAGTGTGGTGTGTACGTACATGAGATTGGATGTTTTTCTTTCGCTTCTTTTTTTTTTTTCAATGGCCCCCCTCTGTAGGTAAAATGGATAGTGTACATGTTGCTCGGGCTGGGTACGCCGCTAGGTACCCAGATATCCTAATAAGTCTCTTTGCCCTTCCCCAATTCAGGTAATGGGGCCCCTGTCGCAGCTACTCGCTGAGCCGGGTAGCCTGAGGTACGTACCCCAGACCCTGGCATCATTGATTCTAGACGCCAATTTGATGCACGACCAGCCAAAAGTCGTTTGCCATCTCCTATCACGGTTAGTCGCTTTCTGGGCAGGAAAAGATACAAGGTACATGTGAGAAAAGAAAAAGAAAAAAGACTTGACCCATGTATTGATGACAACCCTTGCCTGGCGCCCACATGGCCGAGGGGCCCAGGTACTTGGGTACGCTGCGGACTTTTGTCTGCGTCTTCTGGACCCCTGCCCGGGGCATGGGTCACTGCCACCTCTCTGAGCCCTATGGTACAAGCAAGTGGTAGATTCGATTCCCAAGATCCAGCCAGTCTCTCGCAGCGCCATGGACCTGCCATACTACGATCTATATGAATCCTTGGAGTCCCCCAATAGTCCATCCGACGTGTTTCTGGCCCCTCCATAAGATCTGACCAAAGACGCTTCTTCAAGACAAGATTATCACTTGCTTTTGCATACTTGCCATCATCTCACGATCGTTTCTTCTGTTCTCCTAGTTGTGAACAGACCAGAAGCCGGCCCTCTCAACCCTCGTTACTTGTGACAGGACAACCAGCCTTGCAACAGCTGCTCCTCAGCTCATCACCACCCACGTTGGTAATATAATCTCGGACAGCCCGCCTATAAGACGATCAGTTCTGAAGAGAAAAGCGAGAAACACAAGGACAAGCGAAGAAAAAGAAAATCAAACGGCACACACCCTTACCCAAGTGAACTCGTTGCGCTCTTGACCGAGAGCCTCACGAATTTGCTTATAAGTTTGCCAGCGCCCTCGCCCTTCTCCAGCCAAGACCCGGCATTCCAACTTCAACCTCTTTCATCATATAGTCTTGACATCAGTCTCATCGCACTAGCATACCACCACATACACCGGTCTCTCTGGTATGAGATAACTCACCGGCGATCACACCACCACCCCCACCACCACTCTTCTGACGGCAGAGGCACCTAGCGCGAGCTGCGTGGCTTTGCTCGCGAGACAGGATCCACCACCGATCCCGTTCTACACCACCAACCTCACTTACACATCACAAACCTCGCAATGGCATCGATAGCCGAGCAATCATATAACATGTTCCCCCGGCCTACGGAGCACCAGGACTTCCTGCTCTACTCGGAGCAGCAAGCAGGATCCGGATACGCCTCACCACCAATGGATAACCAATACAGCCCAGACGCCTTTGGCTTTCCTCACACATCTGGCTTCGAGGTCAACCCATTGTACGCAGACTTTGCCCACATGACATATGGTGGAAGGACATCGCCTGGCGCATACACAGAGGATGCAGAGCTGCGCGTGCCTTCGTCGAATATGTCCACAACGTCGGCTTCGTCGTCGAACATGGGCTCGCCTCATTCTCACAGTGGCCAACTAGCCTACGTCCCAGAGTATAGCCACAACTCGCTGGGTGTAAATCCCAGCATCGTGAGCCACGATAATTACTTTACTGGAACAGAGTACACCACGTACATGCCGGCACAGATGGAGGGCTACGACATGACTTATGCCGACAGCAAGCCCGGATTCGTTGGTAAGTTGGCACAAGTTCCTCGAAGTCTCCCGCAACTCGATTCCTCTCTGGATGCACTTGACACGGCGATGCCGCCAAGTGCAATATCATCTCTTGGGTCAACGTTCATGTCTTCTTCTTCTTCTTCTACACCAACAAGCGCAGCCTTGTTTTCTCCTGTCTCTTCAGCACCTTCTGTGATTTCTCCTGTAATGACTGCCTCGGCGCAGTGGAGTAGCCCAATCAGTCCTGTGACGCCAGCCAATTCTTCTTCCACTTCGCGCTTTTCTTTCTTTTCTCAGAGTAGTGGGCATTTTGTTGCTCCTCTTGACTCTTATTGTCGGTTTTCCTCTGTCTAATCCGCCTGATAACTTTTTTTTTTGTTGATGCTTGACGATGCGACCAAAGTGCTGACTCACCTGCGTGGCTTAGATCCCTCCCTTATCCATCCAGAAATACGCGGACCTATGGGGCCACCCATGCAGGGTTACGACAACACCTTTTCGCAAAACCACCAATATCCCACTTCACCCGCACTTTCAGGAGCAACTTCACCGGTTCCTGGCATTAGAAATGGCAGCGCTTCGCCCTACGTTCCCGGCTTCCAGTACAGCCCTTTTGCAGTTCCTCAACACCACGGCAGACGGCCCAGCATGTCTTCCTTCCAATCTCCCCAGGAGTACTCGTATAGCGGCGATGAGTCCAAGGAAAAGCAAAGATGCCCGCATCCCGACTGTGGTAAGACCTTCAAGGACCTGAAGGCGCACATGTTGACGCACCAGACGGAGCGACCGGAAAAGTGCCCGATCCAGACGTGCGATTACCACATCAAGGGTTTCGCGCGAAAGTACGACAAGAACCGACACACCTTGACCCACTACAAAGGGACAATGGTGTGCGGTTTCTGCCCTGGATCGGGTTCGGCGGCTGAGAAGTCGTTTAACCGCGCGGATGTCTTCAAGAGGCATCTTACTGCCGTCCACGGTGTAGAGCAGACACCACCCAACAGCCGCAAGAAGTCTTCTGGTGCCAACAACAGCGGCAAGAAGCTGACTGGATACGCATCGGACGCCACCGGCAAGTGTTCGACCTGTAGCGTCACCTTCTCCAACGCTCAGGACTTTTACGAGCACTTGGACGACTGTGTGCTTCGCATCGTTCAGCAGGAGGACCCCGCAGAAGCCGTCAACGCACGGCGGCTGGCCGAGGTCGAAAACGACGGCGAGGTTCACCAGACCCTGGAGAAGAACTCCCTTCCCCTCACGACCCAGACTACCAGCCTGTCTGACGAGGAGGATGATGAGGAGATGGGCGAGGACGATGACGAGGAGGACTTCAAGGGTCGCAAGGCCTCACCCAAGTCGAGGAAGGGTAACCCTGCCAACGGTGTGCAAAAGTCGCGCGGCATGACGCACTCCCGCGGTGGTGTACCCGTGGCGGTCAAGTCCAAGAGCCGAAAGAACCGACGGGACTACCCATCGTCATGGGGCTTCGACAAGGGCCAGATGACGATGAAGAAGCGAGTCATGGCTGTCTTTGACGGCCCACGGCGACTTGCCAAGGACGACATGATGCTCTCGACTGAGCACGAGGTGCGCATCAAGCTTGCCGACGGCAAGTACGTCACGGACCTGGACGTGCAGACCTTGAAGCGCGCGCAGGGCTTCCTCGACGCCACCGATGAGGAGAAGGGCATGTGGATCTCGGACGACCCAACCGAGGAGGACATGCGCAAGATGCTCGAGCTCTCTGCACAATAAATCCTTGATGCCTTTTATTGAACTTCATCACCATCACGCCTCATCTTACATATCACCTCGGCTAAGCCGCGTATATACTTGTCTACTAGTTGATACCTTTGGGATAAAAGGACAAACCTCTACAGTACACTGAGACGACAACTACAATCGAAAATGAACAAAAAGAGAGATGATCGGAGCATACTTGGCGCAGGCTTGGATCGTGTTTATCTTGGTGGGACTAATGATGACACTGTTTTTTTGGGGTATGGTGTCTTTATATTTTCATTCTTCTCTGGTTGGGACAACCATCAAAAAGAGCGACTTGGTTTTTTCTTATACTACATTGCTACCAAAAGGGATTGGAGCAATTATACTACTGACATCTGCATGGAGGGAAATCTGGATTATGGATTTTCTTATTATTTTGAAAGCGAAAGCCTGGGAACCCGATGGATTTTAACATCAAAACTTGTATTTAAATCACCGAGGGAGCGTGGTGAAGATACCCTGTTTATTAACTATAACTCTACACTATACTGTCTTTTGACTTGCCGTATTGCAATTGTGAATACAACCCGTCGTCTGCCGACTAATCAACACCCCCGACACGAAGAGATCATGGGAAGGATATTTGAGATTGCGTCAGCAATAAGACAGACCACGGCTGCCACTTTCTCAATTGTAAATTGTCTGTACATTAGATTGTTCACATCATAAGAGATTCATGTAATCGTCACACATGCGGAAGAGATACCCGTAAGCCGATGCAGCCAAAACAGAAACTGCACCTTGACTCATTTGTCTACGTACATAAGAGAGTGGAAAAGGAAAAAGTGAGGTCCGACATGGGCTTGAATGTGTCACTTTCCCTCCACCCTTTTCCATCAAGAAAAAGAAAATAAAAGATGTCCTCGAGGCTGCGACCGGTGTGTGTAAAAGAAGGGACGGGATATTGTGTCGACTCGGTACTAGTATGAATGTATGTACTGTGTATGTGGACAGCACACCCACACACCCTGACTGCCCCAATCTCATCTGGGGCCAGTCTGATTGGACAAACAACGAGATCCCAGTTGCCCATCTGCTGCATTCCCAGGGTCCTCTTATTGGAGAGCAAATTTTGGCAAGTTGCTTCTTTTCCCATCGTCCTACTTTATGCACCATTCTGCTTCACACAAGCCACAAGCCCGCCCGCCTACACACACACACACAGAGACACACATATGACTTATGCTTCTTATCCTGGGATTGCTGGTTGATCTTCTCCACAGGGACTTTTGGGAAAAGGTAAAGCGCGTGTGGGGGGATCTTCCCTCGAATCCAGGATTGCCCATGCAAAGAGAAACCCTTCCGCATCTTCCATCTTTCTTTTGAATTTCTTATTCTAGACGGAAAACATGGGGGCTTATGACAAATCAAAAATGTACCTATGTAGGAGGGAGGGACAATGTCTAGGGTGACAAGGGAAAAAGAAATAAAAAGTATGCCAATCCCGCCTTGCAGAAATACATTGAATGCCTAGGTAGATAGTCACATTTGGCGTTTAGGGGGGACTCCTGCTCCCTCGCCAAAAAAAAAAAAAAAAAAAAAAAAAAAAAGGAACCTCAGAATTCTTTTTCGTGACTCGGCGCGCCGGTGCCTCCCGTCTGACGAAGTAGTTGCTCTGACGATGAACATGCGACGTCTGCCTAGGTATTGAGGTGAATTAAACCAAGACGACGCATTGGATACCTCACAATGGCCCTCAAAATCTTGTCTTTATGCACAATGTATGACACAGCCTACTATATCCACGTAGGGTATGCCGTATTTTCTGGTTATTCTTGGTACATGGGGTAAAACGAGGAGGAATACTGCAGAAAAAGATGAAATGGTCAGGTGGTAGGTAGGTAGCTGGTGGTGCTGTGGCCGATTCTTTCACTGGCCGCTATAAACGGTGCACTGCCGCCCGGACTGACCCGAACAGCGACTGGGGTTGGGGTGGATAACCTCCAAGACTTTACAAAAATAATCCTTTCGATTGCGCTATACTCTTCCGAGCACACAGAGTCTGAAAGGACACACAAAAAAAAAAAAAANAAAAAAAAACCAGGTGGTCCAGATTCCAAGTGCCAGGAGCGGTGGAAGGGGGGGGGGGGGGGGGGGGGACCTTAACCTACTCTACTATGTACATTGAACACCGCCCCCAAGTTCCAGGGAAATCATATGCGCTGCGCCTCCCCTTGGGCAGCACCCGACAATTTGGATATGGTAATGACGCACGCATCGAAACGGAACAGCGGCAACCCACTTTGTTTCTCTTTGCTTTTGAGTTTCTCGTCAATCTAACATTGAATACATACAGATTTGTTTGGCCCGATCGGAATTGTCCGAGGGGTTTTTCTTTTTTTTTTGCTCTTGTGGTGGAAGGATTCTTGTTGCCTTGTTCTCTTCTTCTTCTTCTTCTTTCCATGCCCAGTGCCCGGGGTATGTTTCACTCAGAAGGAAAGTGCTACATCAAGGGTAATCAGTCGGCGATCTGACGGGGTGTGCGGGGACGAGAAGCAATAACCAAATTCAGGGCGTACGAAACAAGAAAAGAAAAGAAGTCATAGGTAGAAGTAGTGCAGGAGATTGTGATACTGTGATTAAATTATTCGCGCAAACCATGCATCGGCACGGACCGTAGTTGCTTTGCTCATTCGGAGCGGTTCTGATAATGGATTTTTCATTTTCTTGTCTGCACGGTCAAAGCCCCGCCCGGATCCTCCGCTTCTTCCCCCGGCATCGTGAATCCCGGGCGTTGCTGCTGATTTGCAAACTCCGCATCCCGGGCATATCTTGATGGTTTAAGGCATTGATTTGACAACCTGTTTCCGACCTTACCCCCATCGGTGTGGGTCGCTTAGCAGCTCTCTCTTTGGATAGGGTGACGTCAAATTTTTGATCCGGCAAAGAGTGGATAAGGCGGCCCGTATTCCTTCACCCATCACACAGACGCAAGACAGATATAGTCGCAACCAGGGCGTGACATCGTGGTTGGTTAGTCCTTCTCCATACCTACAGCCATGTCCCTGACCCAGCGCCTCACGTCGGTCACCGTCTCGGTGGACCCGGAAGACTTTCTGGGCGAGTCCCTGGGCGTCATCTTTCCCGACGACGTGACGACCCAGCACGGCGACGCCGCCAATGCTCTGCGCTACACCTCGCCGCACTTACCCAAGCCGTTTCACATCCGACTCGCTGATCCGGACACCGAGGACGAGCGCCGTCTCTTTAGCCACTATCTGTGGAACGCGTCGCTTTTGCTGGCCGAGTTTGTCGAGGCCGGGTCCTTGGGCCTGAAGCTCGACAAGCCTCTGGGGTGCGGCGCGAGCGCTGCCGGCGACGACACGGGCGATTCCTTGCCTGCCCCGAGACCGGGGCGGCTTTCCGAGAGTAGTTTTGACGTCGGCGGTCTCTCCACCATTGAGCTGGGCAGCGGCACGGCCCTGCCGAGCATCATGGCCGCCGTCCTGAGCGCATCCCGCGTCGCCGCAACCGATTACCCGGCCCCACCCATCATGGAGATACTCCGTACCAATGTATCCTCCAACACGCAAGCCGCATTCGCACCGGTGGGACGCTCCGTCGCCTCGTCGGTCGTTGTCGAGGGTCACGCATGGGGCGAGGTATCGTCGGAAGCCTTTGCGGCCGAGCACCGCGGCCGCTTTGATCGAGTCCTCGCCTGCGACTGTCTCTGGATGCCGTGGCAACACGATAACCTGCGGCGGTCTATTGAGTGGTTTCTGTCCGATGATGGCAACGCACGCGCCTGGCTTGTCGCTGGTTTTCACACGGGCCGACACAATATGAGTGGCTTCTTCGATACCGACAAATTGGCAGCCGCCGGCCTCGAGCTCGAGAGCATCTGGGAGCGGGATGTCGAGGGCGAGGAGAGAGACTGGGCGGTCGAACGTTTAGACGACGGTAATCGGAAGCGGTGGCTAGTCGTTGCAAGTCTCAAGAAGCTACCCAAGCTGCAGTCGTGAAAAACGGGCAATCCATTCTTTGTCGGTCCTTGATATCCTGTTGTTTATTCGGCCGCGGTTCCATCCAATTCTTCTGCACAAGACCTTCAACTGCCAAAAACTCAATACCTATACACTTTCTCTGCAAGACGAGAGATATAGGCGCATTATATAACACAAAAGTCCTGGGGATCAGCGCCGGCCCTATTTCTTCAGCCTACCGGTATCCGCTTTCAGCTCGTCCATCCCTGGCTACAATAGAATCTTGGCAGCGCACCAGATTTCAGCGCGCTGGCTTAGAGAGGAGCATGTCTTTCAGCTCAACCCCTTAGCCCTCATGTTATTGGCCGTGGAGACACGCTCGTGGAGACAGTGGCATCTGCGCATTGCTGTAGACCCTTCCCAGAAACCCACTTATGAGTTCAGCTGCGTTCAATAGCAATAGGAGTTCAAACATTACGGTCACAATGGGCTCCATTGCCACGATTCAACCTAACATGGAAAGAGTATGCTGCACGTAGGTATCACCAAACCGAGCCACGTAGGAGAAAAGTCTTTCCACAATAACGAGAGTTTCTCTCGTACCGCTATTTGTGTATGGATATTGATAGATTCCGTAGTCCGGATCTTGGTACTAGATAACCAGGCAATCTAGTGAATGCTCAACCATCACTTAACTCCTCGTGAACATGAAGAGTGCCAACCACACGATATAGCAACCCAGGGGTATCGTTCCAATTTGGTCATGGTACACACCTATTTTCCAGCTGAACACTGGTCAAACCCAGAAAGACGCCACGCTAGAAGACAATAAAAGGATAAGGGGTGTACACTCAGTACCAGGCACAGTACCTGAAGTAACACTCCGGACATGGATTGTATAGCGTTCCATGATCGTCAAACAGGTGTTCCAAGACCATCACCTGGGCCTCCACTGCTCTTTTAGGCGAAGGTCGCATCGTCCCTTGGGAAGTATATGGGAATAATGCCTTACGAAGCACCTTGCCTGTAGTCTTCCATTCTTTCTGATCCACCTTCATCCATCTGTGGCAACGGCAGCCGGCTCGGAAGGTCAGGTGCTTGATTTGAGAGAGCGTTGACTGGCGCAGATCGTAGAGAAAGAACTTTGTGATGGGTACATGTTTGAAGAGAGGGCCTATGGCTATGTTGGTAAATGAAATTCCGGCCAATGGTAAAATTCAACGCAAAAAGTCAAGTGACCTAACTCACAGCAAATACAGAATTCGTTCATTTTGTAGAGAACGGGCGTGGCTTCAAAGTCGATTTGTTTGCATGTCTGCAGGATGGCTGTCTGGGGTCTCCAGAAAGGCTCCGGTCTCCTAGAGTGAGACGTCGAACAGGCTGGACAAAGGAACCCGTCAACAGGCTGTTGCCGACGGAATGGTGATATTGCAATCTTCTCGGGCGACAGGAGAAGAATGTCATAAATCATCCACCGCAACTCTAGGGGAAGATTTTCCAGCAGATAGCATGACTGTTTTGGCTACCGAGATTTTAGTAATCCATACACTCATGTCCAGGTATTGGTGTATCAAGAACACAAGAACCAAGCACTCGGCAAATCTGCTCCAAGATGCGCAACGCTTTCGTATATATTAAACAGCAGACAAGATGCTTTTTGACAGGGCAGACCCCAGATGCATTGAGAACTCAGATTCAGCCATGGAATCAGCCTGGCATGACTGGGGAGAACTTGGTGACCTGCGCAATATGTATTCAAAAGTTCCCTCGAGAGCTTTTTGTGCCATGGTCCGCTCATTGCATGAGGGGCAACGAAGTAGAAGAAGGTGCAAATGAAAACGAGTCTCTTCATGCCGGATAAAGAATTTTCACGACAAGAAGTATAGCAAGTGCTCACCTGATCCTGCTTTTTGGGTAGTGTCGAATCAGAAGCCACGCCTAGAGATCGTCCCGTGGATCTTTTCGCGGCCCTCACGATCGCCGGCTTCGCTTTGGCGGAAAGACCCTGCAGACCGGCCTTCTTTGGAATTGGAGAGGCCCCCATGGTGCTTGCTACACGAGGACGCCAGAATAGCAGATCAAGGCATCCCCGTACCTCAAGGTAGGCAGCACGGCCTGCAAGGATCTCTTTGTTTTGCGCGCTGGCCGGTGTATCGTGAGGGGAAGACCCTAAATGTATGTGTCGCAGATGGTGGTTGATGGATGATCGACGACAAGGGGAATAAGCGATGGCGATGTTGATGATGACGATGATGCTGCTTGGTTGATTGAAGTCACCAAGCGAATGGATGACAGCTTGGAGATCGGGGGGGGCGGCGTTTCGCCCTCAAAGGCAAGGTGCCCCAAGCTACCTCTGGATTGGACCTATCGACTTGTGTGCTCGTAAGGCAACTGCTACTGGTTGGCGTTGATGCATCTCCAGAGTTAGTATATTATTGGGAGGCGACCGTTTTTGGAGAGCTAGCTTGGCAGGAGCTCTACCTTGGCAACCAATGTGCAGTATACTCGCGCAATCCCCCGCGTGGAGCTCACTAAGAATGCACTGAGGCATTGTACTCTATACATTCTCACAGTGGGGTAATCTGGAAAGCTCAGTGCTATTGGCAACCTCATCACAGTGGCAGCAAATATCACATTTGAACCTGCACAATCCAATGTCCTAAGCTACAGCTACAGCTACAGCTGAGAGCAATGGTCCATATGCACTTCTGTGTTAGTGCTGGTTCTTGAATGGATTCAGATCGGCTGCAACATCGACTCAATATCTATTGTTGAAATCGTACAATGAGTAAATGACTCTCGCGGCCTGTTGTTACCTCTGCAGTGGATTAAGAGCTTGCGCAGTGCCGCATTCGTTTGGTCCACGGGTATGATTCTGCGAGGCATCGATGGATTCCGGAAATATCAGTCATACTTAGGCCTATACCGACTCTGAGCTCAAGCAGATTATCATTGCGTCAGAAATTCATGTCAAGCTACAAATAAGATACCCATTGACGATTAACACTGGATCATCCTTGCTGTTTAGAGGATGATCCGCACTTTGTAGACATTGCCTAACTGGGGAAGCTTGAGAGGTCGATTCGAGTTTTGGTTGGTCGAGCCAATGCGGGGATCCGAAAGATGAATTTCAGGAGGGCTGGGACAGTGCATGAGTGCGTGGTTTGAAAGGGTCTCGTTTGTCGTCATCTTGATCATCGCGGGATGGAAAGAGTTTTTGCTACCCTCACGTCAAGCCATGTTACATGTGGAAGGATTTTCTGTTGTGGTGTGATGTGTGATTGAAAGCATGGTACAGCAAAGCATGTCAGCAAAAGTCATGTCGGCTCGCGGCATACTGCAGATGCAGTACATTGCAGTAATAAGAGACTGGCGTGATCCGGCGGAAATGACAACAATTTCTCAAATATCATAAACATGGCTTTAATATATTGTTGCTAACCGTCACGCATTTTGGGCAGTCGTTCGCGGCGACGGCATTGAGCACTGTTAATACGAGTATCTCATACACACGAACAAGCCCACAAATTGTACTTAGTGTACACAAACGTTTTGTCCAAGGGATCAGTCGCCAAACTTGATTGAAATATTCCAAAGGCAGTTTTGGTTGAGGGGTGCAGACGCAATGTATCTTTGAAAACACCACGTGCGCTCCATCCACACCCGATTGTGGCTGCTAGACTGCACTATGATGAAATTTGCTGCGGCCAGGGTCCTTAGGGACACGCGGGATTGACCTAGGTTAGCATCTTCCAAAGCAGAGTCGGCTAATGGAGCTCTGCTGCCAAATTTTCGTGTAGGCAACAAAACCATGATCATCGATTGATGCCATTGCCAACAAGTGCCGGCTGCTCAACGAGCCTCTTTTGCAGCATAGCAGGTCGAATAAATCTATCCAATTCCCGAGTGTCTATGCAATCCAACCATGCGGACATCTAGACGGGAACTAAGCCGGCCAGTCCCACTCGCCCTTCTTTTTGCGCGCAAAATCCCATGGGGACGCAGCACAACATATCCACCAAAACTCCCCTCAGACCCGCCTCGACTCCAGAGTAGTAACTTGAGCAGTCAAATCAAACCTTGGTTTCTGTCTCTCGCCGTCGAAACTTCTTTTCCGCATACGCTCCTCGGGTCTCAAGAGGAGTAAATACACACATAAAAAGCCGTTGGTTACACCACCTCGGAGATAATATAATATTTGTGACAGCTTTAGCCAGTCACAGTGCCGCCCGCAGTCTGGCGGTTTTCGCTTGGTGGTTGCTTTGGATTGAGGAGCTCCATCCATGTCCCCAGCTTGACACGCTGGACGCTAGGCCGAACCCGACAAACCCCATGGGCTGCTGGCTCTTGGTGGATAGAGAGATCCAAGCCCAAGCTCGGTCGAGATCCATGTTCTGTTGAGAAAAGATCAGGTCAGGTCATTTCTCGCTCGCGAAGGAGGAGGAGGAAAAAAAAAAATAAAAAACACCCATAAACACAGGGCAAGGGTCGAGTCCCCCGATTCTCGGTCTCATTCCCATTTATCTTGCTCTTTGGGTTTGGCTTTGTTTCCCTCGCCCGCTGCGTCACAAACCTTTTGTTCGTCCAATTGACACACTCACAACCAACGGGCACTAGTATGGAACACAACTGACCTCATTCGTTTCCTCCCACCTGCCTACCTACCTGCCTACTACTCACAGCGACCTACTCTGCTCCACGCGCTGTTTTAACCCGCACTCTGCTGCTGCCATTCACTACCGCTGTCACTTGGCCGCGCGTGTTTTGTTCTGCCTTGTTTTTACATTTTTTTTTTCTTTGACCTTGTCGAGAGCGATTTGGATTTCGGCCTGGCGTGGATTCGTCACGATTCCTGCACACACAATGGCTGTGCCAGGAGCGGAGGATGTTTACCTTACCGTGAGCTTTGAGCTTCTCGTAACCCTCCACCCGTGTCGAATGATGATGCTAATAACTGCACGACACAGCTACTTTTGACTGATACGTATTTACCTGGTGAGCTCCCTGATCACTCGTCTTGAACATCTTCTAGAGCTCTCTCGAGTCTAACGTCAATGCAGGCGCGCTGGTTCTGGCGCATTCGTTGCGAGATGGTGGTACCACAAAGAAGCTCGGCGTGCTAGTGACCTTGGACTCGGTTGCCGCCGAAGCTATAACAGAACTCAAGGCAAGCTTCGCTGTTCACAACAAGTGAGATTCTACATATTGACCATGCCTACAGACAGTATACGATTATGTTATCCCCGTCCCGCGCATCAAGAATGAATTTCCTGCCAATTTGTCTCTCATGAACCGAACCGATCTGGCCTCTGCCTTTACCAAGATCAATCTATGGAAGCAAACCAGCTTTCGTAAGATTGTCTACATCGACGCCGACGTGGTCGCATACCGAGCGCCCGACGAACTCTTCGACCTTCCCCACGCTTTCTCGGCAGCGCCAGATATTGGCTGGCCAGATATCTTCAACACTGGTGTTATGGTCTTGACGCCCAGTATGGGGGAATACTATGCGCTCGCAGCTTTGGCTGAAAGAGGAATTTCTTTCGACGGAGCCGACCAGGGACTACTCAATATGCATTTCAAGAATACCTACAATCGCCTGAGCTTCACCTACAACGTTACGCCATCTGGACACTACCAGTACATCCCTGCCTATCGCCATTTTCAGTCAAGCATCAACATGGTTCACTTTATTGGCACCGATAAACCTTGGTTCCAAGGAAGGTATGCCAGCACCGGCGCTGGTCCTTATGATGAGATGATTGGCAGGTGGTGGGCGGTTTATGATCGACACTACAGGGTTGAGGTAGGTTCCTGTCTTCATGGGGCCTCTAGTGTTTCCATGCTCACGAATTCCACAGTCTCCCAAGAGCACGGCACCGACGCCAAAGGCCGATTTGGTACAGTATCTCACCAGAGGCGAATATCAGCCACCGCGACCTCAAGTTGCCCACGTCGAGAACGTTGAACGAATCGGTGAGCCTTATAGTGAAGACCACCACGAACAAACCCAACATGACTCTTCCTCGGTCGGCCATTCTCAAGCATCCACTGAGCAATATGCTGGACATGGCCATGGCCAATCTGGAGATGCCGAGTCCCGGCAGCAGTTTCCTAGCTCGTCTATATTGAGTAGCTCTCTTGAAGGGACCCAAGCTGAGGCTCGTGAAGAGCAGGTCCCGCCCCCACCGGAGCAGAAGAAGGATGAGCGACCTCCCGTCACATTTTCTGAATGGGACGCTCAGAGGTGAGTTATAGCGCAAACTACTTCTGAGCCTCTTTTTTATTCAATGCTAACGGTCCAGAACAGACATCCTCCGCCGGCAGACTCGAAACCTGAAGCTGCAAACTTCCCTGCTACCGTGTACGAAATGTCGAAAGAAACTGCTCCGTTCGTCCCTCCCGCACGATATCCCAGCCCGCCGAAAGATATGTGGTACAAGGTACCGGAGCAACCGCCGGCTTACCGTACCGCGAAACCCAAGTCGATATTCCCATGGGAAAATGCCCAACCACGGCCTACTCGAGTCTTCCCCGATGAACCGTCGCAAGTCCAAGCTACCGAGACGGAGAAGCCGACAACGACCACGGGTGAGCCTTGGGCCTTTGCCTCTTCTGACACCAACCCATCAACTGAGACTTTTCGCACAGGGCATACCGCCACCGAATCAGTGCCAGTCACCCCCATCACTCCCACCATCTCAATCACGTCATCGGATCCTTGGACTTCTTTTACTCGGACCAATGCATGGGACGAAGTGCCTGAAATAGAGCGCTACGTCGATAAACTGCAGCAGCACCGACGCACAAGAAGTCTCAAGGGTCCTGGCAAGATAGATCTTCCCAGCCCAAGTGGTGCGGTCAGCGAGATTGACTTTGCTAGACGCGGTTCCAAGGTGACCGACTTTCCGTCGGAAACCGAACGGCCAAGTCTGCCTGTTACTCCTGCGCCCATCCGCCGGCCCAAGTTCTGGGGTGGTGGAGGTGATGGCGGTCATGGCCTTGGTGATGAAGAGGAAGCCGATCCTCTGTTGCCAGTCGCAGAGGGCGTACCGGGACAGAGTGAATGGGTATGTGCGCATGGGTTGTGCTGGAAGCCATCGGCCTGCCTTTGCAACATCACTAACGTTCTACGTAACCACAAGGATCCTGTGGCACAACTCCAGAAATTGGCCAAGCAACAGTCTGAAGTCTTGCTGCAGAAGCTAGGTGGTGCTTCTCGCGACAGTGGCGATCTTCCGCCGCGAGCTGTGCCATTTGGATCTGAAGAACTGATCTCACCGACCTACGTGGCCCAATCACCTCAGGTGCTGAGCCCGCAACCGGTAAAAGGAAGCGCAAGCTCGAGCATTGTTCGGGGGATGATTTCCGAAGATGAGGCCGCTACTCACGCCTCGGATCAGGCGACTGCCAATGTCACGTCTGGCTCGATCCCAAAACCAAGTTATACAGGACCTGGTGCCGAGTTTGAGAAGGGGGAGAACTTTGCCCAGCACTCAACGCCATTGCCACCTACCGAAGATGAGCGAGATGTGCTGGAAACATGAGGAAGCCATTCAAACTTTTGCTGCTAATAATGATCACTAGTTACTGGGATTTGTTATACATGGTGTAGCACCATGTTTGTGTGTATGATGTATTTTATACCCAAGGGCGGGTTGGAAACGCTACGAGGAACATGAAGGACGATGATGCATACTGGGGTGACTCGTGGATCCTTACTACCACAGTACATACTTATATTACTGGTCAGTAGGGATAAGTTAGCATAATTAAGGAGATCGAAGGAATGATCTGGCGTCATGGGACGTGAGCAACCAAGAGACTGAACTATTATGAGGTGCCTTTACAGTGACGGCTCGCAATGACAATGTCCACGGCAAGCCTTGAGGTTAATCAACACTGGTGTCATGCTTCTTGGAATGAACACATGGCTGAATACAGCCAAGTTGGATCTTGGGCTTACTCTGTTTGATTTCATATGTATCATTCGATGGGGAGATACTTCCATGTCCACTTCGCTATCGTGTCCTTGCCTTGATATGTCTCCCGGAGCTACAGCTTTGAGCTTCATCTCTTGGTACACCACCGCTTGTATGTTTGTTTGATATTTGCTAGATTCGGTCAAGGTCGAAAGAATGCGGTGCTTGCGAACTCGTGTCTTATTATGATTATCTGACCGCTGCAAATACAGAGGCAAGATGTCCGGGCCCGGTAATGACTGTTCTATGCTATGTAAAGTAGGTAAAAAACTATGTGCAGGAAACGACTGATTTTCTATGCATGCGCGAATTTATTTTCTTTTTCTTATTCTCTCTCTCTCTCGGTCTCTTGTCAACTCACGTATCATTTTTCAATAGAACCTTTATCATCACGTACATGTCGCCAGAACAGCAATTTTTTGAAAAATTGCCGAACCCGTACATGAAGAGAAGCCGAACATGTCTTCCTCTAGAGATCCTTCTTCAAAAAGTGTTCGGGCTTGTGCGTCGTCTCATAGTCCACGTGGACGTAGGCGCGCTCAATATCAGGGAGATTCTCGAGCTTGAACTGAAGCTCCTCAGCCACATCGTGAGTGTCGCGGAGAGTGGCGTCGGGGTCCATGACAATGTCAACTTCGGCAATGAGGCGCGGGCCCGAGTGGTAGACGCGGACTGTGTCGATACCCCTGACGAGCTCGCTGTGCGTAACGCAGACGTAGGTGATGAGGCGCTGCATCTCGACCGAGGCCACGACACCCACCAGCAACATGAACTCCTGGAACGCTGTTCGCAGCCAGATGCCCGAGATGAGCACCGACAAGATGATGGCGCCCATGGGATCGATCCACCATGCCAGTTTGGAACCACCCACCGATGTCAGAATACCAAAGCCATTGATGAGCAAGTCGTTGCGGTGATCCTGCCACAGAATGTCCACCTGACTGTACTTGTCCTTGATGCCCCAGCAGTAGAAGAAGAGGGCTAGCTTGGTGAGAAAGGCAATCGCCACGGCTAGGATGGAAGGCAGGTGGAACGCGTTAAGTTCGTGGTGGTCCTTCTGGGCGAGCTCTTGGGCTGAAAAGGCAATGAGGATCAGCGACACGGCCGTCATCATGAAGCAGAAGAAGATGTTGCCAGCCGTCTCGAGGCGGGCCTTGCCGCTGGGGAAGCGGTTAGGGTCCACGCGCTTGACGGCGCGGTGCGACAAGATCAACAGCGCATTGCTCAAGGGGTCGAAGATCGAGTCCGCCATGGTAGTGAAGAGCGAGAGCGACCCCGACGAGATGGCACCGTACATTTGCAGGATAGAAAGGATGATGTTGGCTACGAAGCTGCCGTAGACGGCGATTTGGTGGCGGAGATGGTCATCGCCCTGTGTCTGCTGCGCCTCTGCCCGGTGCTCCTCCACCGACTTGAGCATGTTGTGAATCATTTCATTTTGTGCCTTGTAAAACCCCTCCACCTTGCGCGCCTTCATCTTGTCCTGGCCAGGCATGCAGCCACGGAGGCCCGACTTGGACCCTCCAGGCCCGTTTGTCCGCTTGCGCGAAGTGTTGGCCTTGATCTCGTCCAATTGCGCATCAGTCTTGATGGCCGACTGGAGGTTGTACGGATCGCTGTCCGAGTAGCGACGGATGCTTTGCATCTCCACATCTGGGCCACCTGCAGCCACGCTTGCGGGGTGTCGCGCGAGAGGCTGCTCTGCATCTTCCACCTCTGCCTCTACGCCCGTACTGGTACCATTGCCGTGGTGAGGCGACGGGGAGTGCGGCACGAGCCTGGGAGTCGAGGATCTCGAGTGGTGGGACTGAGAATCGTGGTGAAGTTGGAACGGACGCGGATGCATCGTAATGCTAGCCGAGAGATCTGGCTCCATCTTGTGTGGCCGAAATGCAGGAAACACGTTGATTTTCTTGAATGCCTCTGCTTCAAACTATATTTGCTATATTTTGCTGGGTAAGTGAACTCTTGAAATGCTCCCTCCTAGAGAGAGGAGAGAAAAGGGGAGCAAGTGAGTAAAATATATTACGATGAGGCAGAGGGCAGTGTAGAGCTAGTAGATCTTGCTCCGAGACAGGCTTTAGAGGGAGCCTTGGAGGAGGTAGCCAATATACGATGGGGGGTGGGGATTCGTTAAAACCCCAGGGGATACTGGAAATGACGCCGTTTTGTTGAGATGATTGACTGGTGGTGGCCAGCAGAGTGAGTGAGATATTTACCTCAGGAGTAGCAGGCTGTGGCTAAAAAATCCCCAATGCAGGAAATAGACAGCAAGAGCTGCTTTCTTGGCAATGACCACCGGATGCCTACTTGTCAGGTAGGAAAAGACTTCTTTTCCCGAGGTTGAAGCGGTCAAGTCGTTTCAATGTTTGCTGCTTTCCAGGACGCCAAATCGCACATCTTCTTTTACAGTTAGTAGCTGCTAGCTCGCAGCAAAGAAAATAACCTTCCGTATGCGGGTGTTGTCTCATTTGTCCAGCCATGGTAGATTGCAAGAGATACGAGGGGCGGCGGCTTGGGAGGCAAGCATTGCCCACGGGGCCAAGAGCTCTCAGGTCATTGGCCTACTCTTGGCTGCCTGTATAATGTGGGCGAACGCACGCCCAAGAACACTACTACTCCTCTGAAGTACGATATGTAAGGAGTAGGTAAGCAGATCAGATAGGCAAGCTTGGACAGGATACACTTTTGTTCAAAGTGGCCAAGAACACCGAGACCCGCTCACTTCAATGCCCATGTGGGTGGTAGCTGTCCAGCGTGTGTGCTTGCTGTCTTCTGACATGGTGCTGTACCTTATGGACGTAGTGGGAAGAGCGGGCATTGAAATGAGGGGTCGGTGTGTTGGTCGGTCCATGATGCGCCAGCGCTGGAGCGCAGCGGATGAGCGACATTGAGTCGCAAGCAGTTCACCAACAAAAGTTGAATCAAAGGTGAAGTTGCCGGCAAAGATTCCAGGTCCAGTCGATTGGGGGGTGCAATGAACTTAAATTCATTTCACGTTTACGCTGCAGCGGACAGACAGGTCAGGTCGGATCGTCCCGCTTGGGCTCTTCAAGCGTTTCAGTATCGGTGGAAATCGGGAACGAGGGCCTGTGGTTACTGGCTACAATGGTTCCATAGCCGACCACAGCCATGGCAGCTTTGCAGCTGTTGCCGCACGCCGAGAACCTTGATAGTCAATCTGGAAACGATTCTTGTGGCTATGCAACGATTTACGTAGCACATTGATTTCCCAAGTTTGGCATCATTTGATTCACACGGTATATAATGAAACCCCCTGTCACTAAGGATGCGAGTATGCGACACGGGTGCGTGGTGGAGCGGAATCCTATCACCTTTAAATACCTTATTGAAAGCTCAGGACTCGAACGTCTATATTACATATTCGACCAGTTTATTTTGTCTATATTCCATTCAGGACATCTACCTGTTAAATTCCATGTCCCAACATGATGCTTTGAAAATGCATGGGTATCGCAAAAACAAGAACATTGTACCCTCCATCTAGGGCTATAAATCGGCATCTGCTCGCCGAAGAGGGTGTGCTTCCGTATTGAGCACCCACTTATCCAAGTCCACAACGTCCCACTCGCTGAACACGAGATAGAAATATTTCAGTGTCTCGGCGAGCCAGAAACTCTCCATGCTGTCGGTCTGGAGTGGCTTCGCCTTGGTCACGTCGTCCAGCGACGCTGCCGCCACCGTGGTTCGCGTGTGCTTTTCAACGGCGATAAACATGTCCCAGGCCTTGTCCATCCACGATGCATCTCCAGTCATGCGATACATGAGAAAAACTGACTCGATGGCTTCTGGACGGAGGATATATTTCCTATCATTGACGTCTAGCATGCCCTTGGGCAGCTTGCGCCCATCCACAATGTCTTTGGCCGTCTGATCAGGCACATCCTTTTGGCCTTTGCGCCAGTGCATCTTCAAGCTGTCCAGCCAGCGTCTCTCCGACCACTGACAGTCATCTTGCTTTGGGTCGGGATCGCAGGGGATGTAGTTGAAGATTTCTGGGCCCAGTCCCGAAGGAGTAGCAAAATACGACCACACGCACCCATTGGTGAGCTGAATGGCAATATCCATGTCAGCCGGGCGATCAAAGACCTTGGCTGCCAGTCCCACCATGCCTCCGGCAAAACATGTCAAGTGTTGCGCGCGTGGGGTACGAATGATTTGTCGCGTCACCGGGTCCTGAGCATTCTTGACTCTAGCATCCCCAGGAAGGAGGATCGGCAAATTATCGGGATTCAGAGCGCGGCGGAAGAGATGTTCTTTGGCCACATCAATAAACCCCTCGTACAGCCGACGCGGCTGTTCCAACATGCCGCCAAGCAAAGCATACTGTTTTGGGAAATACTCATATAGGGAGTCGGACATGCCACCCAAAGTGAACGTGTCACCCGTGAATTCTATTGGTGACTTTGAGGCGTCAATGACCACGGGCCACATGCCTGGCAGATGAGTATTGCTTTGGCCCAATTCAATTTGGTCAGATATCCGCTGGGCAGCATCATGATAGATCATGTTGCCCGTCAGCTCCGAGAGTTTGGCAAATTCCAATGTGAAGGAACCGATCTCAGAGACCAGCATGGACAGCGGCGCTTTTTGCTCTATACCCTGAACATACTTGCGCCAATCCCACCGAGACACGGGCATGCGGTTTGGAGTGTCGAAAGCGCCCATGAGCAAGTCTCCCACCTCTTGTGCCTTGGACAACAGTACCGGGTATTGCCTGCCACTAAGCTCATACGCTGCCAGGAAACCACCGAGGTATCGAATCGTGGTCTCGAAAACGTTGATATCCTTGGTCAGCGTCGTCGTAAAGTCGATCGAGTCACAAGCCTTGACGGCCAGGTTGAAGTCTGTTTCCAGACCCATGATCCATAGGGTATCTAATGAATCCACCAGCGTGGCCGCCCACCCACCAAAGGGATTCTTGTAGTTCCCAGTAATGGGCGTGACCTCGTCCTTTCGCCATGCATACTTTTTGTATCCCGTCCAGCTATGCTGGAAGCTAGCTTTGACGGCAGCAAGGCGCTTGTGGCGCTTGTTTCTGGCCGCCTCTTCCTCAATGGGTTCCGCTGCCTGGACTCTTGGTATGCGCGTCTTTGGGAGTTTGGTCGGGAGTTTGGTCGGCTTCTTGACGGGGAAGCGAGCAGGCGGCTTATTCCATCGTATATCCGGCGATTGGTCCCCGAGTTCTACAGTGCCTTCGCGTTGGGCTGCAAACGGGGACGACGACGGGGGACCTTGCCCCGGCGCCCAGATGTAATACCATGATGCAAAGATCCAAATCGTCGCAACAGCAATGACAATGCGCAGGCGACGGACGCCCATGATGGTATATAAGAAAGAGAGACAGACTATTGTCGACAGAGTTCAGCTTATTATTTCCAAAGTGCTGACATTGGGTTCTTTTTCGCAAGCCGTCTCGGCCCGCCGAGCACGTGTGTTTAGGTGTGACGTAACAGCGACGAAGAAATAGGTGGCAGGTGCAGCAGAGCAGCGACTGTATGCCAAAAGAGCGCGATCAGATGAAGAGAAATAGCTGATATTGAGAAAATACTCTTGTAATCCAGACTAATGGGAAACAAAGAAGTGGTGACAACAAAGTCGGAGGCGAGAGAGAAAAAAAAAAGAGTGTACGAGTAGGTCGATTGAGTAGCAACTTGTGTATGCACTGAAACGCACTGCGAAGGCTGGTCGTGGATAGGAGGTCACAGATAGAGGAACTCTGGAGCATTTAACCTTGATTCAATGGCTTAAAAAACCGTGTGGGGTGAACCACTGGGAAGCTTCATTATGACCAACATTTGCTTCTTGGAACCCCTGGGACCGTCTGCACAACGATCTCGCCCTGTGAGGTCGGTCGCCGAGAGGGCAGGGCAGAGAGAGGCTGCCTTTGGAACTTGGCGTCACCCGCACAGGGTCAATCTGTGGGGATCGGCAGCCTTGGCATTCCCGGGATCATCGACCGTGTGTTGGAGTGAAAGCAAGGCCGCTGCTTGTGTGGTCTGTGTCCGTGAGTCGGTCTTTTCCTCTTCTCCTGTTGTGGTCGTACGTATATGGACATCTTTGACTGAATGCCCAGTCCGGATTGCAGTTGGACGCGCGGCTGATGATGGCCATGCGGCTCACGGTACAGATTCAACTTGCAGGGTATTTATTGGTACCGGCACTTGACGACTCCTCGAGCGCCTAATAAGCTGTCTATTTGCACCAATCATTCCTCTGGTAACCACATGCATACATTCCCAGCGATACGGACATTTATATCCTGCCTTTGGGTGCTCGCGTGATCATTACTCGAGTGTTTGGCATTTCGTCGTATATGCCAATATTCCTCCTATGATTCTCGGATATCATGGCGTCAAACAGACTATAGTTATGGTGACAATTGCTATCGTTAGGCAGTGCCAGATGCAAGATATGGTCTTGTCATTCGCGAGAAGCAACTTTGACTGTATTACACAGACGTCTATGTGATCTCTAGGCTGGTATCAGAGCGGAATACACTGAGATCTCTCATGACGAGGAAACATCACCAATTAAGCAAAGTAGCTTGGAAATCCCATGTATTTATCTGTTTCATGCTGCATCACATTGACAGTAGGCACATATCCCGTATGCTCTCCAGCATCGACCAACATCTCGGCCTGGAGGTGGGGGGATTGCTAATTTCGCCAGCAAAGCTTCTAGAAACTGGCCAGAAGCCGAAAGTAGCCAACGAAGCTTTCTAGAATATTGGCCAGAACTCTCTTATGGAACTGGCAGTGGTCGATGAAAGAATCGTCGACAATTCCCAAGCAACGTAATACCTCACTTGAGAGGGAGGTGGATATTTTCGATATCAGCAGCGCAAGGCCACGACGCGGCCGAGTTCACCAAGTGGCCATAAATAAAAAAAAAATATACCCTACAGACGCCTGCTAGAGGGTAAATATGTTCAAAGTACCCCATGCAGAGCGTTGAAGCGATGAACCAAGAAGAAAGCACAGATGCATGCCAAGGTCAGACTATGGATCGCACGTGGCAATGTATATAGTTAAGTCTTGGCCGTGAACAGAAGTCATTTGGATATGCTGCAACTGCACAAAGCTTACGGAAATAGAAAATCCTCCTGAAATATCCATCTTCGGAATGCAAAAAAAGTGTCCAAGAGATTTTCAGAAGACAGACAAATGGTCAACATAGACACTCCTGCTCGGATGGATGCACGCGAGGATGACTAACTGCTGGGGCGAACAAAGTCCTTGGGGTGGGCAACATCACGGAGGAAGAAACATTTTACTCGTCACCAAACAGTTCAAGTGTAAAAGTGCCAATCATTCAATGCATCGGACTCTTGGGCGGTCTATCATGCATGTAACTGGGCAAGACAAGAGGGACTCAATTGTCAAGGGGAAGTAACTGCAAGCTAAAACGATTCGTGATAGACACCATCTCTATTGGCATTGCTGAGCAACTGCCCAGCCCTGTATATTCCTGAATCGAACGAACTTGGTGCGCTGACTCGGTGAGCCCAGCGCACTAGGTCTGTCCCGTCCCATCACAGAAAGAAACGCGGAAGCTTCGTAACGGCGTGAGGATGGGTATGGCGAAAGCGGTAAGCGACGAGAAGGATGCTGACACTTTTTACTTTTGCATCATGAGCTGGACGAACTCGTTGTCTACAGGGGGGAAATTATTAGTACAGATTCATGGATCAATCGTAAAAGGAAAAGGAACTCTTTGACGTACAGTCGATACGTCCATCACCATCTTGGTCAGCCTCGCGGATCATCTCGTCAACCTCATCGTCGGTCAATTTCTCGCCGATCGAAGTCATGACGTGGCGGAGCTCAGCAGCTGAGATGAAACCGTTGTTGTCACGGTCGAAAACCTAATGGCATGGTTAGCTGCCAAGGTCTCAAAGGTCCTTGTATCGGAATGCTCGAACCTTGAAGGCCTCTCTGATCTCCTCCTCGGAATCGGTGTCCTTCATCTTGCGGGCCATCATGGTCAAGAACTCTGCAACATGCGATTAATCTCTGGCTTGAAATGCGCAACTGGACACGGGGCTTACCAGGGAAGTCAATCGTGCCGTTGTTGTCGGCATCGACCTCGTTGATCATGTCTTGCAGCTCAGACTCGGAGGGGTTCTGGCCGAGCGATCGCATGACGGTGCCCAGCTCCTTTGTAGTGATTTGGCCTGTGAAAGAAATAGATGCCTCAGTACTGTTTTGCTTTGCAAATCGAAAGGATAATCCGTAGGCGTATCGGCGGTCGCGCCAGTTGTTCGCGAGAGAACAGGTCGCAGAAGAATGTTATCAAGGAACAGAGCGATTGTACTCACCATCGCCATCCTTGTCCTGTCGAGGGGTTAGCCGCGTGTGAACGATAAATGCAGGGTGCCCCCATAGCAACGGCGAGAAAGAGCGTCGCGCAGTAGTGGTCGGAGATCAAACTTACAAAGAGAGAGAAGGCTTCCTTGAATTCGGAAACCTGTTCTTCGGTGAGAGAGTCGGCCTGTTGGCGATAGCCTCACGTTAGCAAAGAAAAAAAAAAGATCATGTCGGCTGAGGTGGTGGTGGTGGTGGCCATCCGTTGTGGGCGAGCCGCGGGGTAGGAAATGGCGGGGAGGAAGCTGCTGAGCTTGTTGCGTCGCCCAGGAGAGACGGGACAGGACAAGACATGCAGAGATGGAATGGAAGGAAGAGAGGTACGCACCATATTGAGAGCTTGGTACTGGTAGGTCTGGGGAGAGCGATCGATGGAATTTGCAAATGTTGGGTGTTGATAGCAGAAAGGAGCGTCGTCGGTTTGCTGCTATGGAGTTTGGACCAGTTGGTCTTTGTTGTCGGGTCGTCTCAATGGTCTGGACGGGACTGTGTGTGTAAGGTATTGGTAGGCAGGTAGAGCTAGTCTGACATGGACTGACTGATTAGGGGAAGGAGAAGTTTAAAGCCTCCCAGGAATGTACTTGACAGAATGTACGGTGCCAGACCCGCCCAGCTTTCCAAGGATGGAGTGACTACTGGGCAGCATGGAGGGACACGACTTAGCACGCACAGTGGGAGTCAAGTGGGGGTAAGAATGTTGGAACGGCTTTTGCAACCTGCAACCTGGAGCCAGTCTACATTTAGTTCTCCAGGGTCTGGGCAGGGGGAGGCATGTAGGTCGGATGTTGAGCAATGAGTGGCCGCGCCTGTACCAGCAGTGGAATCAATCACATTCACAAATGCCAAGGCCCGTGTCACAACAAAGTTGAAAGACTGATGACTGCCTACGAACAAGTTCCTCTTGTATCCATCCATAGTAGATACATAACTTGTTGTTGCTGCAGCCTGGACCACAAAGTCAAAGAAATAGCGTTCTTGGACGAATGATAAGCCACGAATGCAAAGTCGTTCGGCGGGCCAAAGGCTCGAGCGTCAGTCAGCCTGAATCGGATTGCCCTTTGCCCATGAGCAAGCAGCGAGAAAGGCCAAAAAAAAAAAAAAAAAAAGTGACGAACAGTAGATCTTTCTCATGGAAATGAAAAAGGACCCCCCCTATCTTTGTCAACCATGATCGTTTCCCCCAAGAAATGGAGACGGGTATGTCATGCAGATGTGTCCTGGACTCCTGGCAACATTGTGGTAATTATAGTTGTATCCAGAAAGGTTCAAATCTACACAAACTCGGCCAACATTCCATGCTCAACAGCGTCAAGAATCAATGCGACTTGCACTGTGACCGAAACAGAACATGCGCAACCCGGTACATTATTCGGCTCACCCCCAGCATTGTTCTAGACTTTTAGGGGCATAGCGCAGATTGGCTACGAGTTGCAGCTACGTCAGCCTCATTGATTACACCAAGTTCCTACGTACCTACCTACCTAGTACCTATTGCTGCGGCCATCAAAAACACCAACCACATGCTGCGGAAGGCTAGCTGCTGATCTTCCGTGCTGAACCATTTGTACAACATGTCCTATTAACCCATTGCCCACATCTGCATCACAGCATCCGCCCTACACACCCTCGAATTGGCCATCTGGACAGCGACGTTGATCTATTCCCGCGCATCAGCAGCATCGACTCTGAAGGACTTTGTTCCTATACTCGGCGGCCGCCATGTGGCGCGACCGCACCAATCTGTACGACTTGCACCCTGTCCTGAATAGGACACCACCCAGAGTCCTTTTTTCCGTCGTTGGAGGGTTTGATACGTCCAGGATGCTGACATTGACCGAAGCTACATTTCATATCGCCAGTCATACGCGCACCACCCGGCCAAGAAAACAAAGTACTCGGGCCCCAGCGGCAATGGCTTCTCAGACTTTGGTCGCGGCAGCGCTGCGGCCTCCGAGGACCAGCAGGGCCTCTTGTCGGGCGCCGACTACGATGATGGCGATGCTGTGATTGAAATGGACTTGCTGCCTCCGCGATGGGCCGACATCTCCGACGAAGTGACAGACCTCTTGGCCGAGATCGCGAAAAAGTCGCAAACGCTAGAAAGATTACACCAGAAGCATGTTTTGCCAGGTTTCAACGACGAGGAGGCAAAAAAGGCCGAGGAAGACGAAATCGAGCGCCTGACGCAAACCATTACCCGAAGCTTTCACGACTGTCACCGATGTATACAACGGGTGGAGCAGATGGTCAAGGAGGGCAATATGACCAGGGCCGAGGAGACTATGGCCAAGAATATCCAAGTCAGCCTGGCAACCCGGGTCCAGGAAGCAAGCGCAGGGTTCAGGAAGAAGCAAAGCGCATATCTGAAGAGTAGGATTTGGTTCATGTCCTCCAGATCATGACAGACGGAATACTAACATGGTTTGCAGAACTACGTGGCATGTCCGGGCTAGGAACCGCTTCTCCCGGCGAAAGGTCTTCGACTCCATTGGCATCCAACTATGCCGCAGACCCGTCATTACTCGAATCAGATGCCGATAGATCATATTCACAATCCGCCTTGCAGGCAACCACCCACCAAAAGATGCTCAAGAGCAACGACGCAGTTATAGCTCAGCGCGAAAAGGAAATCGAGGACATTGCTCAGGGTATCATTGAGCTGTCGGATTTATTCCGAGATTTGCAAAACATGGTCATTGACCAGGGAACAATGCTTGATCGGATAGACTATAATGTTGAGCGTATGAACACGGATCTAAAGGGGGCCGAAAAGGAACTTGTCGTGGCGTCCGGTTATCAAAAGAAGACGACCAAACGGAAAATCATACTATTACTGGTACTGATCATCGTAGGCATGATCATCGTACTGGTGATCAAGCCCAAGAAGAGTAGCTATGCCGCTCCTCCAGAACCAGTCGAGCCTTCTCTTGGAGAGGTCGAGGGTGACGGCACAATATAGCTTCTCCAGCAGTCTGACTGCTTGCCAGGGATGTGGGTTGGAAGGATCTCTGGACAGATTCTGATCTTTGATTTATATACATTTAGCGGTAATTTCGAGGCCTTGCAGTCGAGATCATGACAACATTAGACGGGCTTTTGTAACAATACAAATTCTTCAGGGAGCTCATACGCCCCAAAATCAATATTCAGGCCTCACCAATTTCAATATTGATAGTCGCCGTAGCCAAGTATGGACCCTGCACAGCCACAGCAGAATGTCGGTCTCTACGTTTACATGGGCCAGGCAAAGTTGGCATCTCATCACAAAAGAGGGCTGAAAAACCCCCAAATGGGGGCAGTAAGATCGCGAGAATAAAAATCAATTAGCGTATATTTGCATTAAATATGATTTATATTAATTCCCCTGGGCTCTATTATAGTTCTGATCAAATCATTCCTGGTAGTTCAGTCCGCTGACCTTGTGCCCCTGGAGGGTAGCTATTGTCCAGCTAGCCTTGGTTATAATCCGGATAATTCCATTGCGAGTATTGCACATTGGACTGGTCGTAATTCCACTGCTGAAGTTGCGGAAAACCCTGATAGTTTTGTGTACTGATCCGAGCGCCCTGGGTCGCACCGTACGGGACGACTTCTGTGCTGGCCGTATAAGCTGCTGGATTCTGAGCGCTTTGAGGAGCACCACCATACGGAACAACTTGTGTATTGACTGCATATGCCGTTGAACTCTGATAGGCTGCTGGATCGTTGTAGGCTTGCGAGTTGTCCGGAGTGCTTGCAACTTGCTGTGCTTGCTGTGCCTCGGCGGCATACCACGCGCCTTCATCGTAAAGCGCGACATTCATGTGAACCATTTGAGTGCCTTCAGCGCTCCAATCTCCGTCGCATCGCAGTGGTGCATATCGCACGTTGGATATACCCAGCTGGGTGCCATACTCGGTGTTGATTTTGTCAATGACCTTTTTGATGCATCTGAGGAATACGTTTTGGTTCACGCGTGTGTCCCAATCAGGCCACTCCTAGGGCAATTGGTTCACCACGGGCCAATCGTGTCGCTCGGGATGTTTCTTGCAGATGTCGTAACGCTGACGACGTATTGCTCGGATGGCTTGGTCGTGCGTGATGTCGGCGACCAGGATTTGGCGGAGTTGGGTTGGATCCCCGCCCGCAGCTATGTAGTTGACAATTATCATGTTGTACAGCCGCATCTCCGTGTATCTTGGAGCGCCCATCGTCTCGCCCTGCTGAAAATAGGCATCTCTTACGACATAAATTCTCTTGTCCACACTGACGTCGTATCTGTGTACTGCGGTCTTGTCCCTGCCATGGCGCCTCATAATGGCAAACCTTTTCCAGGTCGTATCGTCAGTTGTGACATGAAAGTATTCTTGGGAGTCTCCTGGAGCAGTGAGCGAGTCATAATCCGCAATGATATTTTCCGTTGTGAAGTTGCCTGGGTCGCGCGCCTCCCGTTCGAGTCTGAATGCCTCGATGCCCTGAAGGGTGGATAGAGCTTGAGATGACGATGTCGACATGTTGCTTCAGCTTCCTGATGTCTGGACTGTTTTTCTTCAAGCTGGTGGTATGTTCTCTGAATGCTCGTGATGTATCGACTCCAGTGTTGGCTTGCAGTTTCTGTTGAGGTTCCGTTTCGCCATCGTACTCGGCTTTTTATATTTCTCTTCCAAAGACCATGTGATTAACCAGGAGTAGGCATTGCGATTCGACTGAAGCTGGCGTGATTGAATAGGCAGACATCTGAGCATCGGACAGAGGGGCGCTTTCTGGTTGTTATTCACTCGATATCCTTGTCTGTCCAACCAGTGACGGGAGTGATAAGGCGTATAGAAACTGGAGAGGACATGGTTGCTGAATCAACAGCACTCGTCGAGGGAGGTTTCCGTTCATGACGAGATGACTATATTGCCTTGCCGGTCTGCCTGGCTAACGTGAAGACTTGCGCAGCACTACATGGAACTAGCAAGCTTGTAATGGTCAGCTTGATTGCTTTGTCGAATTTTGTCCATGAGGGCCTGCCAGGCACGTAAATTGCGGTGACCAAGTCGTTACTACCAACTCAAAGCGGCATTGTCTCAAAAGTATTTCCGCCAATATAGACTATCATGATGCGCGCCGGCTCGCCAAAGTACTTATTCTTTTTCCACGCAGTACTCTATTGTAAAATTGGGGCTTACCAGCATGCATAAAGCTGGAGATTGAGAATGCGGTCGATTTAACCCCACTGGTAGATTCTCTCAGTGTGTTGTAGTCAGGATGCCTTCAAGTCAAATGTTCTCTAGTCTGGTCATGCCTCTATGCACATGGGAAGTGTCGTGGGAAGGTAACAAGATGCCTCTGCTCGTAGTCATTTGCATCATCAAGCTGGTCTTTCTTTTGCTCGTGCCGGCACCAACAGTGGTAGATCGAATTGCGAAGGATCTCATATGAATGACTATCATCTTTGTTGTTATTGATCATGCGGTTCGTGTGAGGACGACTAAAGAACTAGGTTGTTGCCATGGACACTGAAATACAGTACTTGGAACTTGAAATGTGTACCTGGGTGATTTCCGCTGCCAGACGGTTTGTTTCATTTCATCATTCGCTGTCACAGCCTTGAATCAGAATCTAGAGCTTCCATATGCAGGACCGCGATGACCTCTCCAAAGTGGAGATGTCATGAATAAGGAATTGCAGCATGGGCTGAAGATAGCAGTAGGAAAATACTGAATCATGTCACTGCCGCGTTTGTATTAATTGAATTCTGTTTACAAACATGAGTAACGTAACACGCCGTCATTTTGTTTACATGTGAGCATAGTTGTTTGGACGCTTGGTAAACTTGTAAATTTCAAGCACGTTTGATTCAGAGATGACGACGTCTTACATTTCTCTCTGTCCTTTCTACAGAACCACGTCAGCCGGTCGAAAAGAAAAAGGCAACAGATTCATCATGCATGTATTATGACAAGCAATACTGAAGTCACTTGTATGTTGATAAAAAATAACTTAGATTCAATGAGTCAATAGTAAAGGTAAAGCTGCAGCTTTGATTCACCCGCCTACTGTGTCTACCGAATGACTGATCTAGCATCTCATGCGGCGAAATATCCATCTTCATTCCATTATTGACACTAAATGCAAGCACTGCAATAGCCACGACAGCAGCTTGAAGCCATAATAAACGCAGATACAGGCCTCTGACTCACCGACGTTTCTTTCTGGCAGAGTCACCGGCTGTCACCTGGACTGTACTTATAAATTATCTTCTCTCGCCCTCTTTCCCCAAAGCCTTTCATATCCTCAACGCAGAACCAACACGCAATTATTAGAGAAGACTACTCTTGAGCCATGCATCCTATGATTAAAAAGCTTTCCAAATAGGCTCGCAGCAAGTAGGGATGACCATATTACGGGGCTAGCACTGGAACAGTTATTATCCCCTCTCTTGTGCCCTTTATATCTAGGGGGGGAATCAAGCAACACATATAGAAGCCAAAGACCTCGTTGGGCATTCCGGATGATCTGATACCTAACCTGCCCGTAAAATCTTAATCATCAGCATTGGTGGGTCTCTTGGTCTTTGCAACTGACATATTGGAATTAAAAGATGGCATCCTCCTATATCCTAGTATTTTCACAACCTTTTCTTTCCAACATCAATAAAACAACACAATTTTCTCTCTTATACCATAAGTATTTATGACTGTGCGTTTACGGAAGAAAAAAGAGAGAGAAAAAAGAGA